AAAAAAAAAAAAAAAAAAAAAAAAAATTGGCAGATCCCAGCTACTGTACCACTTTTGGGTTTTTGAGGTTTACACAAACAGACCCAGACTTGTCATCTCAGAGTAAACAAGAAGTCTGCAGCTACAAATTTACATCACATGACATTTATATAGAAGACGGAAGACCCATACATTTCACAAACAGCAATCACCGGAACACCCTCACAATACACTTAAAACAATGAATCAGGCTGTTTACGAGTTTATTGACTTTCCAATTCCTCAAGTCTTACACCAACTGCAGGTAACCCACAAGAGTGCACCAAGACCAAAGCTTAATCCAGTCTCACAATATTGAACATGAACACAAGTTTTTCTGGGGAACCTTGTCGAGCTTCTTGTCTGCAAACAGATTGATATTCAAGAACTATGCCAGAAGTGGAGGAAAAGCAAACATAGAACAACTAACTACTGTTGCAGGTCAAACCTGCAACAAGTAAGAGGATGCATATGCAAAGGAATTAAAATGAAATCCAGATAATTACTGGATATAATTTTTTCATAAAGCCTTCAAAACATAAACAACTGCATGTCAATTGGTATATGGGAAACAATTCATATTGAGAACTGACAAATTTTAGGAATAAATAAAAGTTGGGAAGGGAATGGAATAGAAGAACAGGGATGGAAATGGAATTACGTGTCCATACTAGTCTATGTTTGATAAGCAATAATACAATGGGGTGAATGGGTCAAGATCATCAGCAAAGAGGTTAATGATGATCTGAAAAGTTCACCGATCCCTTTTAATAAAGAGTTCTAGGACTTACTAATAAGTAACAACCATTAAATAAGTAGCTTTGTGTCTGCAATTATCTTGTATGTCGTGGTCATTCTAAGGGGACGGTAGCATCATGTCTCATGGCTACCTAACAGCCCAAAACGCATCCAAAGTGATATGTGCAACATACAAAAGCCTCTATACTTACAATTCAACCACATCTATTAGTGGTTACTCATTGGTTCAAGAGTTATATTGCAAAAGGTAATGCATTTTTGAAGTTGCATTAAGCAGACTCTTTCGTCTTTCCTTTTTCTTTTCTTTTCATTTTTGCAGTGTTATTGTGTCCTCTCGCTTATTTTGGTGCATTTTAAGTTTATTTTTCACCACTGACACCTGAAAGTAGCAAGGCAATGAGGCCTGGATCATACCAATGAAAGCCAATGCCACGGAGTTGACATGAAATAACCATCTCTAGAAACTAATGTCACAAGCTCGATCTTTATCAGCTGCCCAGTAAGTAATAGGTAGACCCCTACGTAAAGTTTGTGAGAACACACTATTGATTGAAGCTTAAACAGAAACCTAAGTATGCCTTGAACAGCTTTCCTCTAATTATGCTAACCCTCGTGGTCCACAACACGAAACCAGTAACACCAAGTTGTAAAGTCATACAAAACTAGCTTACAGCTGAAGATCAAGCATTTTGGCATTTTAAGAGATCCTTTGTTCCGAACGTTTGACAGGGGAACAAAATAATCAAACTTATGGTGTGGTGTCTCAAGTGTTGCACTTGCAGTCAAAATTCCACTAACATTTTGGCATTTTTTTAAGGAGATATACCTGTCTTTGCTTTTACGTATATTGGTTGTACAACGGCATGCATGGTGACAACTCCATTTGGTAGCTCGTCGAATGGCATCTTGCACTGAGCAACGGTCCTGCTGTTTTCCAATATCTTCCCCGCACTTATCAGTTTCACATCACTTGCGGACCTTGGTGCAATTTTTTTATCTGAAGAAGATTACATCCAAAAATATCCGAAGACTTAAATACACACATGGGGTTTCAAAATAAGCCAAGATAAAGCAATCTATAGTTAAGGTATGCATTACGAATTGAAACCCAAGAATCTGTCTCATGTTCTGCACGTCGGCAAAGCCCAAACCTTTCTTATGCAAATGAAATAAATACA